GTTGTCAAAAGAACTATTAAATGAAGACACTTTTTAGACTATGTCCATTTAAGAAACTTTTTATCAAATTAAATTGCAGGAAAAAAAGAATAAAATTTAGAAGATGTTCAAGTCTGATTAATATGCCCAATACAATTTCAACGTGTCACTTAAAAGAGGAATTATTGCAGGAAAAAAAGAATAAAATTTAGAAGATGTTCAAGTCTGATTAATATGCCCAATACAATTTCAACGTGTCACTTAAAAGAGGAATTGAACTCACAACTTCTCCACTACTCAATTTGCACTTTAATACTGAAGTTCTTAATGTTTCTATATTTATGAGAAAACAATTTCAAGTTAAGTAGCCAAAGGAAAGAAGAAGGGACTAAGGAGGTCATAAACTGCACAAGACAAGGAAGATGTTTTTCTGGTAATAGTACAGAGTCTGTTACACAAGACAATAAAAGGAACTCAAAATGTACAAACCTAAACACAAAAGGGTATTAGAAAGTAGCATTCCCCCCTCCACCTCCCAATTTATTATGAATGTATTGTTAAGGATGGGATAATTTACAAGGAATAAATTATGAGTAAATATGAGTGCTTATAAACTCATATTCTTCCTAACAGACTACAATGTATGCCACAGTATTGGATTTAAGGCTGGAAAGCATATCAGACTACCTGATAATCAGAAAAAAAGTCAGGTCCTTTCAATTTTACTTGATTTTCCAAAGAATTCTGCTGCTAAGAATTAGCTGACATACTGCATTTTAAGATTAACATCCATGTCATTTGCATTAATTTCCATCCCTTTTTAGATGTTACTGCAAATTGTCTTTTTCTATTTAAAAGTTTTGAAGCTGCAGGCTCAGTGCAACATTTCCCATACACATAAGATAACCATGTTCCTTCCAAAATATTTCACCTGTTTAGTAAAGTACTCCATTGTGGTTTTTCTGTTTATGTTTCTTAATGTTATGTCCTACATCACTTCCATCTTGATTGTAAGCCATCATAAATATTTATCATAAAATTGGTGCATAAAATAAAATAAAATAAAATAAAATAAACCAGTCCCAAGCATATCCAACAATTAAAAAAAAATTTTTTTTTTCAGTACAGTATCTCACATAGGGGGCATAAAGTAAATGATTATAGATTTAACTTGCAGGGAGACGAAGTCAATTACTGTAAAGAAGCTGCCTCGAAATCTTCTCTGACAGCATTCAGCTGCAGTAAAAACAACGAAGAGTCTTGTGACATCTTCAAAATTACTAACTGTATTGTGGCATAAGATTTTATACATTGTTTATGCCGTACGTTTTTTTAAGAAAGCATTTTGCTATTAAATTAAAGGGCAGGGGGGAGGCGGTGTGAGAAGACATTTTCCTGCCCCAGCTTTCAGTCGCTGGAGCAGCCCCTTAAATCCCATCCCTTGACCCCACTGCTTACTTGCAACGCGGGTCCGTGCTTCCCCGGCTCCGGTGGCTTTGCTAGCTACGCCCACCCTCCGCCAACACACCCACCTGCCATAGGACCCGCCTCACCCGCTCTTGCACCTGCAAGAAAAGCTCGTAGAGAATCTCCTCCTGCACCCGACTCTCCAAATTGCCCACGAAAAGGGTCCGGTCGGGCTCGTCCGCCCTCCTTTGGGTTGCCATCCTTGTGAGGAACAACCTTGCCGGTTGGGAGTTCGGGATAAGGAGCAGGAAGCCGGGAGAGGGGAGGGGCTGCCGGGGATAGCGCAGGAGGCCGTAAACCGCAGGGGACGCGCGACTATGCAGTAAAAAGCTTCCAGGACTGCTAGTGTGCTTTGCAACAGCTGCAGGAGGAGGCACGTTAGTTGTAAGAGCATGCAAGAGGGTTAAGATAGCATTTTCAGTACTAAAGTCACTTTCTCAGATGTTAGAGGCGTGTATGTATATATATGTATATGTATATGTATATGTATATATAAATAATATTACAGCAGGATATCTGTGTATTTCAGTACTCAATTATGATACCCCATATATGTATGAAATTGCAGATAGATAGACAGACAGACAGACAGACAGATGGTATCAGATATCCTGCTGGTATAGTGAGCTGGCCAAAGGAGGACATGGAGGCTGTCAATGTGACGACCTGGAAGCTCCTCACAATGTATTGAGGTTTCCACCCCAAGTCCAACACCCAGAGACTGTATATCAGCCAGAAAGAGGGCGGGCAGGATCTGATGAGCGTCAAAGCCACTGTCCTGAACGAAACCCAGAGCATCCAGGAGTACATTAGTAAGGTGCAGACTGTGCAGAGAGGCCTCAGAGACAGTCCAACACAGTGGCAGGGTGTAAGGTGCAGGCAGGAACAGCATACACTGAACAGCACAACCAAGTAGCTGGCATTATGTACAGGAAGACCTGCACAGTGTATGAGCTAGACCCTCCCAAGCCAAGATGGGAGATTCCACAGAAGGTCGTGAAGAATAACAGGGCTAAGATCCTGTGAGGCTTCCAGATCCAGATGGACAGGCAGGTACTGGCCAATCAACCAGACATCGTGGTAGTGGACAAGGACCAGAAGACAGCAGTGACGATAGATGTATCGGTGCCAAGTGACAGCAACATCAGGAAGGAGCATGAGAATCTGGAGAAGTACCAGGGCATGAAAGAGGAACTAGAGAGGATGTGGAAAGCAAAGACCAAAGTGGTCCCAGTGGTGGTAGGAGCACTCGGGGCTGTGACTCCTAAGCTGGGAGAGTGGCTCCAACAGATCCCAGGAACATCAGAGCTCTCTGTCCAGAAGAGAGCAGTGCTAGGAACAGCTGAGATACTGCACAGAACCCTCACTCCCAGGCCTCTGGTAGAGGACCTGAGATTGAGGAGACACATACCACTGGGGTTAGGGGAGTTTTTATAAAACTTTCTCAGATGATGGATAGATAGATAGACAGACAGACAGACAGATAGACAGAATCCTCTCTCATCACTCCAAGGATACACATACACACACACATGTATGTATGTATGTATGTATGTACCCAGGCATGGAATATGAGGGGTAGACAGCACCAGCAGAGCCGATGGTTGCTAATAATGCATCCTGCAGTGTGAACTTCCTCTTCTTCTGTATCCTAGCAACTGTTTCAACTTGGAGATGGCATTGATTTGTGTGTGTGTGTGGAGATGAAGAATGGTGCATTCCCAAACATGGGCTGCCATCATGTGGCAAATCCTGATACTGCAGTGTATCTATTAAGACCAAACTGTCCACGTTAGATTTATCCAGATGGAAGTCTCTGGGTGGTTATATATTAGCAAAAGTATTTTTTAATACTTGGGCAAGTAATTTAAGAGAAATTTACTCTTTAGTTCAGTTTAGTTCAGTTTTATAGCAGTTTCTTGAAGCAATAGGACAATGCTAGGTTATTATTATTAGATTTTTATCCTGCCTTTTTTATATATAACTCAAGGTGGAAAATATATCTAATACTTCTGCTTCCTATTTTCCCCACAACAACAACCTTTGAGGTGCGTTGGGCTGAGACAGTGTGACTGGCCCTAACATTTTCTGAAGAATAAGCATATGTTATTGGAGTTTGTTTATTTTACATATGTAATCTACCATGACAATTAGTATCTACTTAAACATCCCAAGCAACTAATACCTTCTTTAAATGACACAACAGAATGATGGATTACAGAGTAGCCTTTTGCTATCAAACAAAGCCATCTGATTATACTTCTGCATTCAACATTGCATTCAAATGTTACTGAAAATCTAGACAGTTTGATTGTAAGAGCTGCTGTTGGATCAGTACTTACCCTTTTTGCAGCCCATGGAGTCCCCTTTCATTGCTGAAATCTAAGGGCAGAGTTTCCTTCATTTTTGAAACAGAAAACAAACAAACAAACTCTGTATCCCATGTGTGTATCCAAAAACTGAATATCCCTCTCAAGTTAGACTCTCCTATTAACATATTTTTTCTTTTGTAATCAAATCAAGGCAAATATTTCACTTTTCTGTCCTTGACTGAATCAGTGCAACACTTATTAACACATTTTTTAGGGTGCTATTCAGAAAAAAATGCACAGGGTTCAGCCAGCTGAATTATTTGCTGTAGTCCATTTAAAGTTAACTAATTGGAAAAATATTTGTCATTTCTGTGCATGACCAACTCCTGGAAAAGGGCAAGTCTTTCTAGGAACTGTCAAAACAGCAACCAATTGACAAAACACTAAGTTGGTTGTGAAATTGACAACTAATTGTGCTATCTGTACCAGGAATTCAACTGTCTGTAAACTTACCATTTTTCTTGTAACAATATTGTACTTTTTCTGCAATTTGGAACTCGATGATCATTCTTAAAATAACTATTAGCCTTCTCGGTCTTAAGGTCCATTCTTCTTCTAGGACAGTTTAATAATTTGTCTCCCCTTAGACTTCTTCTCTCCAAATTGAACATCTGAAATTCTCCCAAACTGTCTTCATATGGCATAGCCTCAAATCTTTGTCATCTCCTCTTTGTCACCTTTCTCTGAACCTCTCCTAACCAATCAGACTTTTGGAAATGTGCTTAGAACTATACAGAGTATTAAGGCATCACTGGGAGTACTGTGGATGAGAAAGAGACATGCGAGTAAAGAAGTGATTGCACCATCTGAGCCCAGCTTGTTGAATTGAAGTAAGAGATGGGTACGTTAGGAGCCAAAGAAAAGTAAACAAATTGGTGCAAGTGGTGTTGTTCTTCAGTCGTTAAGTCGTGTTTGACTCTTTGTGACCTCATGAACCATATCGCGCCAGGCCTTCCTGTCCTTCACTGCCTCCCTGAGTTTGCTCAGTTTCATGCTCATTGCTTCAGTGATGCTA